TTATGGAGTATCCGGTGTAGACAATTGAGATATAATCTTCTATTTTTGATAAGTAATTAATGAACATTTTAGAGAAGTGCTAGCCACCTACGATCAGATCGTAGTAATTTAATATATTTTCATGGTGCTTCTCCGTATCAAGCCTTAAAATCCTAAAATTATTCAAAGCATTCAGACTTACGGTGCATCAAATAAATATATTCATAGTCCGAGTAATCATTTATGAATGAAAAATACTCAAAACCACCTCTTGCCTATATGTTCATTAGACATCACAATCAAAAATGGATTAGTTCTAACTTATCACCAACTCTCTTTCCTTTGGAGCAGAAATGTCTCTTAGTCATGTTCCTTCTAAACAGGATCCATAAGCTGGTAGTGCCTATACTTTCAATGAACCTCAAGGTTCATCATTGACCAACTAAAATCCTATCCAGATAATTATGACTTAGACGCAAGTGCACAGATAAGTTTCACTCAATTTTGAAGAATATTATTTTTTTGTTTATAAGGTAGACTAATATTGTTCAGTTCAGGAGAGACATTAATAACAAGGTCATGTATCCATGTACCACAAGAGAAAAATTGTTTATCAAACTCATAACATAAGAGTTATTCGAAAATAAACTAGATATCCATCTCTTATTTTGCTCAAAAACCGGAATTAAATTCCTTATAGCAAATGGTACATATATGGCATCCCTTAAATTAATGTCTTGCCACGACCAAAGAAATTTTTTGACAGGTGATACGACAAACTACACGAAGTCGTCGTGGAGTTGAGATATACAACATTAAATAGATCATAATAAGTCAATTAGCACTGAATAATAAAATTCAGACTGCATTCAATATATATACATACATGCATCTCAAATAGCAAATTTCGATGGGAAAAGAGTCATTCATGCAAAGTATATTATATAATGTAAGAATTATACAATCCAAAAAGAAACAGAACCAACTCAGATGGAGAGCAAACTGTTATTTTTAGTCAATTGTATATAAGTATTTAATATAAAAAATTTCAAACGCACTACACACATATATTTATGCACCTTGAATAGCAAATTTCGATGGGAAAAGAACTACCCATGCAACATATACATGTAATGCTAGATTATTCACTCCAATAAATTAAAATAGACCCAACTCAGATGGAGAGTATACTGTTAATTTAAGTCAAGTAAACATCATAATTAATAGCTTTAGTTCCACTGATCCAACATGTATACTCAGATGGAGAGTAAATACATGATATCAATAACTAGTATTTCACCTAGTGAGCTTACAATAAATTTATCCGATATGGAGGAAGACCTAAAGTCGACGCGTAAATTTACACTCACTTGAAATGAATAGTGGAAGACCATAGAAATATATTTCTATCACCACTTAATCATGGTTGCATTATAATTACAAAATTGATTCAACGTGTAAACTCATATGGAGAGTCAATACATGTTATCAACTACTAGTAATTATACTCAGTAAGTTCATAATAAATTTATCCGATATGGAGGAAGACCTAAAGTCGACACATAGATTTATTATCTCACTATAAATAAATAGTGGAGACCATAAGGGGTTAATTCCTAGTTCCATTGATCCAGCATGTATACTCAGATGGAGAGTAAGTACATGATATCAATACTAGTATTTCATCTAGTGAGCTTACAATAAATTTATCCGATATGGAGGAAGACCTAAAGTCGACACATAAATTTACACTCACTTGAAATTAATAGTGGAAGACCATAAAAATAAATTCCTATCACCACTTGATCACAACCACAAAATTTCCTCTAAAGATTAAGTTTAAAAATTTACAAAATGCCATGAAACACCAAATTAATGTTATTCACTGCATACATCAAGTATTATTTACCGGAATTTTCCGATAGTCTTACCAAATTTCAGGTCAATTGGAGATCATAAAAGTCATGATCTTCAAAACAACAACCAAATTTGAAAAGCTACCATGCATTTTTAGGAATTTAAAACATGGCATACATTCCAACCATATATCAGTTCATGTAAAATAAACATGCGTCATCATGTTTCAGATTTAACAAAATAAGACCGACATAAAAGGAATGACTTTTTTCATATCTAGATTATATTTTAATCGAAATTGCCAAAAAACCCATCTAAATGACCCTGAACTGCCGAAATACGACATAATTCACTGCACAGCAATGAGTATTTCATATGAGGTCGTCTCCGATGAACCCACCAAATTTCAAGTCAATTGGAGATGATGATCACCAAAACTAGACCAAATTCGAATAAGTCTTTTTAGGCGAATTTAAGATTCAACCAATGTGATTTACATTCTTTTCATATATCATGTTAAGTTAAATCATCATGTGTAATCATGTTCCAGATTTAACACAAATAAAACCGATATATAAAGAACAGTTTTTCATATTTAAAACTTATTTAACCCGATAAAATGCTTAAAACTCCATCTAAACGACCTCGAAACACCAAAAACGATGAGATTCACGGAAGACAATGAGTGTTTCTCACCAGGTCATTTTCAATGGACCTACCAAATTTCAGGTTAATTGGAGTTCGTCATATTCATGACCTCCAAATCTATGACCAAATTATGAGAATAACCGTTTTAGGCATTTTCATGGATTAAAATAAATATGATCTTGGTTTCTATTCTCCTTATAATTATACTATGAGCTCAAGGTATATGTTATGTTCTTCCTATTTCTAGGATGGAATAAGACCTCTTTATATAGCCACAGGTTTTAGGGTTTAAAACAATTTCCTAAACCTGTTGGGTCTTCCTTTTCCACCAAGAAATATAATTCCATTTAGTTCCTAATTATTCGGTCACAGCAGGGACCGCAGTATTTAAACGAGGCTTTCTATTATGGAATTAATCCGAAATATCCGAATTAATACTACCATAATAAATTACGAATTATTCTACTAAAAATTCGTAACTGCACTCCTCAGTTCAATTTCGAAATTCTTCCATTAAAATTTATTTAACTCCCCATGTTAAGATTCAGATACTAATCGAATAAATTAAATTACTTACAATTTAATTCATTGATTATTTCCTTTAGACTTTCGCTTAACTTATTTCATGTGACGGATACAAAATTCACCTGCAGGGTTTACACATGAAAACTTATAAGCTTTCATAAAGGTGTATCATCAATCTCTAGACCGAGACATGGATTCCATCAACTAATTATTACTTCGCCAATGTACATCATCATTGTCCAATTTATCAGGCATATTGACCCACAAAAGAATCTTGCCTTTTAATAAATCAAAACAATAAATAATATACACAACTAATAATAATTATTTCAAGATTAAGAGTATAAGTACATTTAATGGATAGAGAATTTATTTTATTAAGTCAGTATAAAATACTTATCTCTACTTGGTCCGTTCAATACATACAAAATGTATTAGCACAAGAAGTCGGAATTAAACCATTCCCATAATCAAGATAAATTATATTTAATCTTGTGCTACAATCATTCTTGATGATTTGTCCAATTCCATCATTAGATTGTGAACATGATCTTTATACTTATAAGAACCGATGATTTAATCTTCCGTGTATAAGCTAAACTTTATACACTAGATCATCTACTATATAAGTAAAGGACACAAACAAATATATAATCTATTTAAAACTTTTTTAAAATTAAATAAATAATTATTCCATAATAAATACTATATCTAAACCAAAATCTATGGTTAATAGTATATATCCCAACACATCCAGCTTTAGTTACCTCAAATGGCATGTTCAACAGCTCATAGTACGTTGTAACACGATCTAATCTCAACTGCACAGCCTCACCGTCTATCGAGGGGGAGAGTAGCAGACTACACAACTCGGAAGAAACTAGAAGGAGAAATGAAAATTACGTAGAATCAATGAGTAAACAGATAATAGCACATTGTTTTTCCTCAGCGATCAACTTGTAGAGAAATCCAGACTGGAACTATTGATTCTTCCTCTATGGATAGGGCGACGTGACATGCAATGGATCGGTTAGAGAGGAGAACAAATTGATCACATGTCCCCTTCTCAACTCTGATAGCATCTTTGAACGGCAGGTACCCACAACCGCCGTAACGAAGGAATGAATCTATTAAGTGGGAAAGAGCCCTCGTAAGGCCTCTCTCATCCCTTGCTTATGCTGAATCGAGATTTTATTGGTCGGATAACCTTGTGGCATAGCGTCGAATCTACTCTACCCTACGCTACCATCTTTCTTCCTTGTGATTCAACCACGGCGGATATTTAGTCATTTTCATAACAGTTTTCATGTAGTAAAATTGTACAACACTTGAATTTATAAAAACATCATGATTAAAAAAACAGAGCAAACCTGCAATTGTCTTTGTATTTGACATACTGCATTCCAAATCGAAATCTCTTACTGTTATACTTACTTGGTTTTTGTTTTCCTGTTTCGTCTCCATATACACTCGAACACCCATATCGTTTCGAATTTTATTTGGAGGACAACGTCCTTTCATTGTGTATTTGATCTTGATGATTTTTAAAGAAGTATCGATCACTAGGTGCTCTACAATTGTGTTATTCATTTGACTATAATTTGAATCTTCATTGACTAAAATCCCGTTAAAATCAAAATTTATATATCTCTGGAAGCTATCTTACCGACCATTGGGCTGAAGCATTATCACCAATTTTGATATTACATCCCCAAATTTAATTCAATTCCAGAGAAAATAATTTTTTTTCAATCTTATAGAAACTTTAGAAATCAATTATATGTTCCAAGCCGATTGTCAATACTTTACATTAATCACCAATTGTTTTCTTCAGAAAGTTTTTCTCTTTTTCTGAATTTCTTGAAAACTAGAGGAAATCTTCATTTGTTTGTACTTAACGAGGGTCTGAATCTGAATGAACCAGATCTTAGCTCATTAAGTATATTTGTTTTTTTATTTTTAAAAAGTCTGAATAGGACCTTTAATTGAGTCTTAGTTCCCTTCAGAGGTTAAAAATACACGCCTCTTTTTTTCTCTCTCTTGACATCAGGCTATTTCTTCTAAACCCAAAACAAAATTCATCCTTCACACGTCGGATCAAGCAGCCGCCGAATGTTTTTCTGGGTAAGATTGTGAAAATTATACTTGGAATTCTCCATCTTGTTTCCACTTTTCTAATGGTAAATTTCATTTTCGAGTTTAAAGTTTTAAAAAACCCCTTTTAAAATACGATTGAGAAGGGGCTTAAACTATGCCTCTTATTTGTGTCTTGTTCTCACTTTTGGATATTCTATTTTGATTGAATCTCTGAAATTTTTCTTGATTTTGTTGACATCCCGATTCTCTAAATCGTAAATCTTCTAAATTGTTAGCAATGTTTTTTTCTCTTTTGCAGATTCACATAGCTTTTGTTTTCTTCAAGAATTGCATATTAGTGACTGAAATTCAATTTCTCTAGTTGAAATATAAACCCTAATTGGTGTTTATGAAGCTCGTCCAAAATTAAGAAACTTTGCTATGGCTATAGTTTCATATTTGGCTAGAATTCGGATAATGTATACATAAGTAAAATTTATATTTTAGTGCTTTCTGAATATTTATGTGCTATTGCTCTTAAATTATTCGTCATATGTTACATGTTTTATATTTGAACCAGCAAACTCTACAGCGAAACCCCTCTTACGCCGCCACTTTTTGCAGAATGGCGACACTAAAAGAGATCTTGACGCGCCGCCCTATCTCAGCCACGATCCGTCTCACCGTCGATGCGGGTGCAGCTAAGCCCGGACCACCAGTAGGCCCAGCCCTGGGTCAATACAAGCTCAACTCCATGGCTTTCTGCAAGGACTTCAACGCGCGGACCCAGAAGTTCAAGCCCGGTACACCTATGGCCGTCACCATATCGGCGTTCAAGGACGGGACTTTCGAGTTCACCGTTAAGTCTCCGTCTGTTACTTGGTACCTAAAGCAGGCGGCTGGAATTGAGCTGGGAAGTGGCCGCCCTGGTCACGTAACGGCGTCAACTATAACCCTAAAGCACGTTTATGAAATTGCTAAAATCAAACAGAGTGATCCGTTTTGCCAGTACATGCCTTTGGAGTCGATTTGTAAGTCTATTATTGGGACGGCAAATTCTATGGGGATTAAAGTTCAGAAAGAGCTGGATTAAATGAAATAATTGAACTGTCTTTTTGCGATTACTGTAGTTTTTGTATTAAGATTTGGAAATGAAGAGTAGTAAAGTTGGTTGCAGTAATGATTTGCTGTTTAAGGAAGCATGGGTGTTTTCTTAGCAATAAAGATAGCTTTTTTGAAGTCCATTAGAGTTGTTTGAGCAAGCTTAATGCTTTTTCATCATACCATTATTGTGAATCGAGAAGAATGGGCTAACTTATGTCGATTCTACTGCCTCTCTTTTTCTATTTGTGTGTGTAAGCATTAGCTATCGTAGATAGAGCCGAGGAGGGAAGATTAGACCTATTATTTTTTGCTATTGATACAAGGTCGGTTGCCATGATACTTGATAAATGTGCATATTTTTTAGTATATTTGCATATTAATTCTTGTGTGTGTCGCGGGAGATTACATGATTTTCAAAGTGAAATATACCCATTATGTGTTTTTTATGTGTAGGAACGAGTTTGGATGATAAATGATCAAAAGATACAATTCGACACAAAAAGAAGAAATTAAAGGAGTGGGAGCTCGTCTATTCTCGTACGTGGCACGAAGTCGGACGTGAAAAAGGAGAAAAGTTAAGGCACAAAACAGCAAAGCGAAGCAAAGGCACGGAGCGCTTCGCGAAATGGAAGAATTTCAAAAGCTGGATCCGCGTCAAAGTCCGCGTCTAGACGCGAAGGTAGACGCGGATTCCAGCTCTCCCATCCGAAGTTGGATTGAAGAATTTCGCCCCTCATCAACCTTAGGTCATATAAATACATCCTAAAACACCACTTTGAAGAAAGAGACACTACTTTAGGGTTAGACAACACCCTTGGAGGCAAGAAAACGCTAGGAGCAAGGAGGAAGATTCAACTACGAGTTTTTCTCCTTCTTCTTCCTATTTTATTGTTGGTTATGAATTGGAGTATTGTGTTTTCACATACTTTTATGAATAGCTAATTCGTTTTTTAGGGTTTTGATGGAACCTTTTGGGGACGAATTGGTTGTTATATTGATATAGTTTTGAGTTAGTTGTTAATCTCTATTTGTTCCTCAATTGAAAGGATCCTCAATTAAGCGTTCCTATTTATTATGTATCTGCTTGAGAGAGAGTGCATATTTAGGTAGTTTTTTGAACAACATCACTCCCGGAGTATAGGCGAGAGTCTAACCGAGGGTTTAGAGGTTGGATTAGAGATAACGATACCTCGGGTGCGATCTAAGTGAACTGTAATGTGAATCTAGCTAGCGTAGCTTGAGAGAGTGCGTCTAGTAAATTATCATAATTGCTTGAGAGAGATTTATGATAGATGGAGAGTTAATGATTGATAGAGGCAACTAAGTCAAAGCTATAAGAAACATACAACTAATGAAATCAACAATTGGGGAAATCATAACTCTAGACCTCCTTAATTTAGTCTCCAAACCTTTGTCTCGTTAGTTGATAATTTTCCGTTTTATAGTATTTGTTGGTTAATTAGTTAGATATAAAAATCTTAATATTATAATTTAGAAATTGTTCAAACTTGTCTTCTTTGCGATATTGAACAATTACAGCGAAACCTTAGTTCTCTGTGGGATTCGACTCCGGACTTTTAGACCGGATTATATTTTCAGCGACCGCTTATCCTTTTTAGGACTAGAGTTGGGCGTGATCAATACTAATCCTTATATGTGCAATCTTGGTTTAGGGAAATGTTCCTTCTTAGGTTAGAGAATGGATGGGTGCTGTTGAAACCATAGGTGCTGTTGTATTTCTTTGCCGCCTCCTATTCTTTTCCTCATTTTTTTTATGATTTCAAGTTTCCTGGCCTGATCATTGATTGCCATAGCGATGCTCTTTAACTATTTAACTTACATCATATCATAGTAACAGCCTGCAATTAGCGAAATAGAAAACTAGCTGAAGCCAAAACTTTGCTAGTTCTTTTATAGTATCAGCTACAAATCCAATCACCTTAGCTGGAAGTAGGGCTGCTGTTAGTTTAACAATATGAAGAGGATGCTGTTTAGACTTCTAATATGGTTCCTAAGAAATTGTTGAGTGAATTGTATTTTATGGTGCGAATGGTATACAACAAAGTGTACCATCTGGTGCTTTTCCTGATTACCGTTCATTATATAAATAATTTCTGCAGAACTTAGGGCGAATATTATGTTCGTTGTAGATCTTTTACCGTCTAAATTTTGTAACCCAAATATGTTCTCTCCCAAATATCACGCGTCTAAAAAAAGAAGCCCCCAAATAAGGAGTCTATTTTAAGCGATTGTATATTTTTGTTGGGAAAATGGAGAAATTTTACTACGTGAGTCACATAACCAACATTACTTATGTGAGTCTAGTTTATTTCTTGAGAAGTGGACTCATGTTCATACTTACTTATTTTAAAGCATAAGCTAGAAAACACAATATTTAGGTCTACGCTTTCTGCTAATTAGAGGCTTAACTAATAGACAATAAAAGGAAAAGAAGAAAGAAAAAATTAAAGAAGATCAACGATTTCTAAGCCTGCTTTTTGATTAAAAAAAACTTTTTTATTGAAAAACTTATTTCTTAGCATCCTTTCTATGATGAAGAAGAAAGCATACGCTTTATGCTCAAAAATATGGAGGATCACTTTGCTGAAGATATTAATTTTTAAGGTGAAGGTAAGCAACATGAATTTTAAAGACTATTAATTTCAAGTGCTCACTTTTTTAATGGAAAATTTAATTTTTGTTATTATTTATGTGTAAATATTATACCTCTAATTTAGATTATATTATTGTAGATTACACTGTAAATGATCAAGATTATTCCACATTCGTCCATAATTTGTCTAACATCAATAGTGACTTTGCTATTAATATTGGGATGAAATTTGGTTCTGATGATGAATCATACGAAGCATACAATTCTTAATGCTTTAGCAAAAGGTTTTGGTATTCGAAAAGGAGCAAAAACTTGCAACAGAAACAAAAAAAAATTAACAAGGTATTTATTTCTTTGTTCTTGTGAAGAAAAACCTCTTTTGCATTTTAATTATCTAGAAAGAAAACGTCAAAGGTTAGAATATAGATGTGGTTGTATGGCTCCCATAAAATTTAAGATTTCAAATGAGATATGAGAATTTTTCGAATTTTCAGGTGAGCATAACCACCCGATAATCGAGGAAAATTTGGTACATTCCATATTGTCTGGCCGAATGCTTAAAACCGCTACTAAAGACATTTTTAGTTCTACGGTATATGCTGGTATTCACACCAAAAAAGATGTTCGTTACCTTCAAAATAAAACAGGTGGTATTTGAAATGCTAGATTTATTGAACAAGATGCTCATAACTTCATACAAGTACATAAAAGAAGTATGATCAACGGCGGAGATGCTCAAACTCTTGGGGATCGTTTTATGCATATGCAATCTGAGGACTAAAACCTTTTTTTACTCTTTTCAAGTTGATGAAGATGGAAGGATGTGCAACTTTTTCTGGAGAGATAGTATATCTTGATTGCATTATGAGTGTTTTGGAGATGTGATGATTTTTGATACTACATATCGTACAAATAAATATGACATGATTTGTGCTCCATTTGTGGGCGTAAATAATCATTGGAAAAATATTTTTTTTTGGATGTGCATTCTTAAGTGATGAAACAACTAGTTCTTTTGTTTGACTATTCCGTACTTTTTTGAAGGCAATGGGAGGCATATCACCCAAAACTATATTTACCGATCAAGCTCCCGCAATAACGACTGCTATTCAAGAAGTTTTTCCTGATACTTGTCATCGTTTATGTGAATGGCATATTGATAGGAATGTCCAAAAAAATATACCTCAACTTTATTGGAAACTGGGATTTAGAGAAAAATATTTTGGTAAACTCCTATAGAGGTGCAAGTCGGAATCAGATGAATTGGTATGGCTAAAAATGATTGAGGAATTGGATTTCAGGAACAATAGTTGGCTCTAAAGATTATATGACTTGGGGGAAAAGTGATGTCCTGCATTTAGTCGTTATATTAAGTCAAATTAGAGAAGTGAGAGCACTAATAGAGTCTTTACAGAAATGGCTTACAAGACTATGAGTTTAACTGGATTTTTTAATCATATGAGCAACGGGCAGCTGAAATGCGTGACATTGAGGCAACAGAAAAGTTTAAATGTCGAGGAACACCTAAACTTGCAATAGATAATTGCGGGTTATTAAAGCATGCTGCAACTTTATAGACGAACTATATTTACAAGATTTTAACATGAATTTTTGCAGGGGATATCCAAAAAGGTGATCAATGTTAAAATTAATGACACCTGTCACACATACACAATCCTCAAGGGAGAAGGTAGACAAATTGAGACAGTGCCAATTCTGTGAACAATTCCATAAGTTGCAGTTGTCTTATGTTTGAATCTTTGGGTTGATTATGTTGCCATGCACTAAAAGTTTTATTCCTTGACTTGGATTTTTCTTATATCCCTGCACAATATATTTAAAAAAGATGGACAAAAAATGCTAAATAAGGGAATGGTTTGGAGGAGTACAACAATAAAAAGAAAACACCAACTTCATCTGCGGCTATTTGCTTAAACAGATTGATGAAAGAATCATTTGCAGTTATGACTTTAGCTGCAAATGATGCCGAGTCTGAAAAAATTGCTAGAAAATATTTCTTTCAAGCAAGGGTTGAGATCACTAAACTCCAAAGTATGCAGAAGGTGCCCATAGGAGTTGTTCCAAATCTAGCACATTTATTGGGCATTCTTTGGATTCAATGATCAAGTTTTGGATCCAAATAAGAAAAAGGATAATCGAAATGGATACGGAAGATTAAAATTAAGAACTGAGCAAAAAAAGAGGCGAGCACCATAAAAGACATTAAAAGCTAGAGCAATAGAACAACATGAGCAAAAATCCTTGGGATTAAATTTTGAGGTTCAATCTCTAAATAATCAAGTTATAATTTTCAATTTATCACTAGTATTTATATTTTAATTTACTTAGCGTCCTTGATTTGATTTTTTTGCTTTACTCCTTTTAATTTAATGATGTTGTTATATGGAAATCAAAACACTAGCTTTACACAACTGGTGACTCAGGCTTCAACTAACCAATTTGGAGGTGGCATTGAGAACCAAGTTCAAACATCACTAGAAAAAATGTTGATTTTAGTGGCCAAGCGAATTGATGTAGAAATTGAATTAGTAATTGAGTTGGATTTATTAGTATTGAGATTGACAAAGATTGTACTTATTTATTTT